GAGCATGTTCTTTGACATTTGAGTGAAAGATCTTTATCATAAAGTGGTAAAGAACTGGACTAAATTGTGTTCTGTTGTCATATGGAAAGTAGACATGATAAGTAATGAGCTTGGATATTTAGTTGAGGAGATTTCTAAGTGAAGTGTTGAAGGTACAGCCTGCTTGCTGCTAATAGGAAATGTGAGAGTAAAGAGGTACATTGAGTGAAGAAGAGTCAAGCAGAAAGGAGCTGACACTTGATGATTTAGGGGCTCTTGGTATGTCCAGATTACAAAGGATACAAAAATTAGGAAACTCACTGTTAAAAGTGTACCCTGGAAAGAGGACCAAGGGTGTGGCCGGATAACATTTTTCTAAAGAAATTGACATGTGACTCGTGGAACCATTCCATCATCTCTGGCAGAAACCAGAAATAGAGATGGGGTTACCCAGGAAAGATCTGTGGAGGACCCCTTCATTTGTTGGCTGAAACCTCATCAACTATGCAGGAGACAAAGGTTTTGAGACTCTTACAGCAGTAGAAACATGGCAACCTGGACTCTAAGGGACAGAGATGGAATGGAATAAAGGAAGGCCATGGGGCTTCCAAAATTCCACAGGCAGAAAACTGGCTGACGGAGGCACTCTGCTGTAGAAATGTTTTATCTTTCATCTTGTAATTTTTTGTTGAAAGCCAAACATAATGCATAAGGTGAGAGGAACTGAGGCAAATAGACTCAGTTCTAAGGAGCAAGGCTGTGTTTCTTGTTTGATGTAGCTGTAAATGTCAGAGGCTAAAATTTCCTCTAGTGTTCTTATTTTTGCATCCCCTGTTGCCTTTGGGTTTCCCTAGAGGTTGCTTCTTAGATAAATTCTGGGCCTTGGAGTTCTTTCAGCTGTAATCCCCTGTTAATATATAGGAGCCCAAAGTGATTATGGCCGTAAGATGGGGGAACAACAGGTAGGGGTCTATAAACCCATGATCAGTCTTTTCATGAACCAGTGATACCTAGGCTGTGCCCCTCACAAGTGCTTCTCAACTTTTTTAAATGTGAGATTGGAAGATTAGAGTGGGCTGGAGAGGGATATTTTCCTTCCCTTGGGTTGAGTATGCTCTGGTAGGTGCTCTGACTGTAAGCCTTTGCTAAGGAGAACAGAACACTCTGTGTGCATTTCAAAGTGGTTACTCTTCCCTCCCCTTGCCAGAAGCTCCAGCAGATTCTTCTCTGCTTTTCACCCAAGAACCTGATAGAGTTCCTGGAGATAAAACCCATCAGAGTGTGGGGGCCCCCTAAGGCTAGGTCCCTAGCAGTTTTTCTCTCTTATGCTCACATGCTCAGGGTCCAGCAGTTAGTCAATTACCTTGTAAGTTTCCCTAGCTGTTGCTGGCTGCAGAAGCAGCAGCTTCTGTGCCAGGTAAGCTGTGACTCTGTATTTGCTTTTCCTTCTAATTTTTTTTTTTTTTTTTTTTTTTTGAGACGGAGTTTCGCTCTTGTTACCCAGGCTGGAGTGCAATGGCGCGATCTCGGCTCACCGCAACCTCTGGCCCCTGGGTTCAGGCAATTCTCCTGCCTCAGCCTCCTGAGTAGCTGGGATTACAGGCACGCGCCACCGTGCCCAGCTAATTTTTTGTAATTTTTAGTAGAGGAGGGGTTTCACCATGTTGACCAGGATGGTCTCGATCAGTTGACCTCGTGATCCACCCGCCTCGGCCTCCCAAAGTGCTGGGATTACAGGCTTGAGCCACCGCGCCCGGCCCTCCTTCTAATTTTTAGGGGAGTGGTTTGCCCCATGACCTCAGTTTTCTGAAGGATCTAAGAGTTGTTGATTTTCCAGTTCGTTTAGTTTTTTTCTTGTTTTAAGAAAGGAAGTAATGATTTTGAAGTTCTTTATGTGCCAGAACAAAAATTTTCATTGGTATGCTTAATAGCAATAATTATATAAATAATTTATTTAAACAGCAAAGATATGAATGAATGAATGAGTGTGGCAGTAATTCCTGAAGACAGGACCTCGGCCCTGCGTATAATGTCTCTGGATTAATCAAGCAAGTAAGCCAAAAAACAATGTCTTTTATAGATAAGAGTTCTGAGTCTGTGGCCCGGCTGGAGGGTACTGGCGCAGTCTCAGCTCACTGCAGCCTAAACCTCCCAGATGCAGGCAATCCTCCCACCTCAGCAGCCTCAACCTCCCAGGCTCAGGTGATCCTCTGGCCTCAACCTCCCGAGCAGTTGGGAACCTGTCTCACCCAGCTGGGTTCTCCTTTCCATGGTGTGTGTGTGTGTGTGTGTACTGGCACAGAGCCATCGTTGGAGTTTGGTTTTCTGCTGGGGGAGTGGAGGCATGCAGAAAACCTCCACTTTCCCAGTGAGAAAACAGGAACCCTGCAACTGGACCAAAGCAACAGCTAGAGAGAAAGGTAAAATCTTCCAGAGTGTTTGCTCTCTGTAGACTTCCTAGGACTTCCTATTTCCACCTCTCAGAGTTGGCTTTCGTACTCAAGGCAGCCCCTGCCAACTGGGCGGGTGCTCTGAGGCGACGAGGGCCAGTGGGGCCTGCTTTCTGCAGGGTTCCACAGCAATACATTTTGAATAATTTCAAAGTTATTGGGCATTTCACTATTTCTAATATTCACACTTGTGATGCATATGGCATCTAATATACTCAGTAAGCTGTTAAAGGTCAAAACAGCTAGCTAATGCCGTGATGAAAATGGTCACTGCCATCAAAACACAGTGCGTTGGGATCCTGATCTCTCTGGGGCTGTTTCTCCAAGTTCAGATGAAGAGGAAATATCCAGTCTGGCCTGGCGCGTTCTAGTGGTGAGAAGCCAAAATTCTGGCGAACACTTTCAAGTTGAAAGAAAACGTATACACCTGCAAAAAGTCTCACGTGTTCCCATACCGGGAGTCGAACCCGGGCCGCCTGGGTGAAAACCAGGAATCCTAACCGCTAGACCATATGGGAACTACAGAAAGGTGGCGCCACAATCTCTATATATGTAACATGCATCAGCTTCACACCAGCAGCAACAACACGGCACTGGCCTCCTGCTGTCCCTGTGGAAACTCGTGTGACTGCAGCCTCACCAGACCCGCTGCCTGGACCCCTCCCGACTTAGCCTTGGTGGGACAAGCCGCCTCCCCTTCGCAGGCAGAACCCACTTTCCTGACGGTCTCCCTGAGAGCTGGACTCAGAGCAGAAGGTCAGGGCAGGGAGTCAAGGATGCTTTGCTCAAGATTTGCTGTCTTCATCAACCCTATTTACAGAGCCAGTGGCCTCGCCCTGACAGGAGCACGGCCACCTGAGAACACACCCCCCAAGCCAGGGATGGGAGGTGCATGCCCACCCGCCACCAGCAGCGAAGGGTGTGCTCCACGGGGTCGCACCTCCTTGGAGAAGAATTTGTGGCCCCAGCAAAATTGGCTTATTTTTTTCCTTACTTCGGCTTCAGAATCTCACTTACTGACACCTCGTGGAGAGCATCTTATGAAAGGCAACCTTTGGTGAGGGTTGGAGGCAGATACGTTTTTCCTGCAGTCACGCGGGTTCCATTTGAGCTCCCCATTAGTCTTTTCCCTGGCAACTCAAGGTCAACAGGGCCAATAATCGACCCCTCAACCCAATGACAAATGTGTCCTATGGAGATTATCTTAAAGGTTCACGATAAGAAACAGTGCACTGGTGTATTGACAGTAAGGTCTACGAAACAGAATGAAAACCCCTAAATTACATTGGGTTTACACTGGGAGTAAGCAAAACTAAGATTAACCGACACACAGCATGTGGGTGGATGGTGGAAAAGCTGGACAGGACTCACGGGACATTTCAACTGAAACCAGAGGTTCTTGAAATGCTGGATGTGGGAAGTAGAAAAGTTCCTTTTTGAAGTTTCCTTTCTTGTTAAAAAATGTGTGCCAATAACTTTCCCACTCCAGCCAGCAAGATTTAAAAAAGGGTTAAGGTATGTCAGAAAATTGTAAGAGAATGTATGAAAGAGAGCGAGACAGGAAGTAAAACTAAAGAAATAATGTAAAGAGAAAAGAGAGAGAAACTTTTTTTTTCTTTTTCTTTTTTTTTTGAGACAGAGTCTCACTCTGTCGCCAGACGCCAGGCTGGAGTGCAATGGCACAATCTCAGCTCACTGCAACCTCCGCCTCCTGGGTTCAAGCAATTCTCCTGCCTCAGCCTCCCCAATAGCTGGGATTACAGGCACACACCACCACACCCAGCTAATTTTTGTATTTAGTAGAGTTGGGGTTTCACCATGTTGGCCAGGATGGTCTCGATCTCTTGACCTGGTGATCTGCCCGCCTCGGCCTCCCAAAGTGCTGGGATTACAGGCTTGAGCCACTGCACCCGGCAAGAAACTTTTTCTAGAAACTTGTGCAGAATAACTAAGCCAAGACATGTTAAAAAAAAAAAAAGGATTTAAAAAGGAAAATTATAAAGTAAAAGAGGAGGGAATTGTGGGAAGTAGAAAAGTTCCTTTTTAAAATTTCCTGTTAAGCCCTATCCTATGTAGGTGTTTAACATGCCATGCTTACAGGCATGTAGTATATTCTATGTCTTTGTACTTTAACCAAGATATCTGTGCTGGACGTGCTCCCAGGCATGTCCCAGCTCCCCATTGCTTTTACCTGTTTAGAAAAGTTTTATGTTGTTCGCCAATTGGGTTTTAGTTTAGACTGTGAGGTCTGGCCTCAGCCAACAGAGATCAGACACAGCCGTAAGGACACCCCAAATGTATAAAAAATAAAGCTGTGTGTTCTCCTTTGTTCTTCTTATTCTCGTGGTACAATGGCTATCGGGAGTACCTTTCCCACAGTCCAGGAAGCAAAAATCGCGTTACTGAAAGATCCCTTGTCTCAGTGCTAATTTTTCTTTGCGGCACTGAGCATCTATTTCCAACACTGGAGAATTCCCTTTTTGCCTTATCAAACAACCCCAAATTCAGAAGTCATGTGACAGCTGGATACATTCAACTTTACATACATATACTGATCAAAACACACAAGAGTTGGGTAGTGGTTAGCATGCTTTTACCATAGTTACTCATTAAGCTATTCAACTGTTTTGTGCAGTTTGATGTAGCACATTTTATTTCACAATAAAAAGTCAAAACAGTATAAGCAAAAACATAAACTGGAAAAAAAAGATTTACATCTCATATATATGAACAAAAGACTAATTCCCCACCAAACATAAACAGCTCCTAGAAATTATTGCAAAGATCAACAACCCAGTAGAAAAATGAATGAAGTTCCCACAATAGAAAACACAAATGGCCCTTCAAAAAAATGAAGAGAGGCTCAGCCTCTTATGGTAAGACAAAAAGGCAGGATTTTAAAAACTTAGGTCTCTTCCTCTAGTTTCCTTAAAAATCTAGGCCAGGTCATTTTCACTTTCTGGCTTAGACCCTGCCAAGGGCTGCCCATCTACTCAGGCGTTTGTATCTTTGTTGATTCAAGTCATACTGCCCTCATCTCTCCGCCGAGTATGGTTTTCTCCTCCAGGAAAGTCAATTTGGAGGGTGTAGTAAACAGGAAGTGCTACATCCTGTCCTCCCCCACCTCTCTTCTCAGTGTCCTATCATCCAGCCATGAATGCACAGCTGAGTGATCCAACAGGCAGTTCCAATTGTTGACTAATGTGTACCTGCCCATGTGAGTGTGTCGTATGGGAACCCAGGCCTCAGAATGGTTTCAAAGTGTAGTGGCTTTCAAAATTAGTTTGCCTCTTCAAACTCCACACCTAAGGAAGATGGAAACATGCAAAGCAGGGGGACGGAGGGGGCATTAACTGGCATGGGGTAGGGGCAAGAGTTATTTGTGAAGGAAGAAGGCCAGAGATGAAGCAGTGACAGCTGAGAAGAGCTGTGCTCGCTGCCCTGCCTCTGTACACGCATGTCAGGCAGTACCAGGCTCAAGCTTCTTGAGTTTCTCTTGGAGTCCCCGGAGCTGGTTTCGACCCCAGTCGATGCGGTTCTGGAGGCTGGCTATGTCTGCAGCCAGCTGCAGGCCTGGAGGAAAGGAAGGAAGGTCACCATGGCATCTGTGGTGTAAGACACAACCCAGGAGGATCTGGACATCCCAGGAAACTAGAAAGCCTCCAGGCCTCTCTGACCCCCACACTTGTCCAAAACATTTCAGGTACAGCCCTGCACTGGCTGCTCCAGAACCTCCGCAGCCTTACACCCCCTCTTCAGGTCTTTGCTAAAATGTCACCTCAGACTTCCTGGACCCATTATATCACCCACCAGGAACGAAAAATTCAGCGAGTAATAGCATCTCATGCCCTCATTTCCTCCCTCCCCCCCATTATTACAGCCCCTCGCTGCCCTCACCTGCTCTCCCTCCACTTCTTTTCTTTGCCCCAAGAGTGATCCACACTCTGGGTCCACCTCTGGTTGGCTTATGCCTGATGTCTCTACTGGAACAGCTGCTGCCCCGGCCTCTGGGCAGCCCTCAGTCTTCAGCCTCCTGTTCAGCAGCAGGGCTGACCACTGCTCCAGGAAACACTTTCACTTCTTGGCCTCCAGGACACCTGTCCCCCGGGTGTTGCTCCTTAGTTTCCTTGACTGGCTTCTCCCCTCCTCTCCCTCACCTCCCATCCATACTCCCCAGGCCCTCTTCTGATCTCATCCTATCTCAGCTTTAAATCAGTGTTGTGTCAACATCTTTGAAATTTAAACAACAGTGCTATGCAGTGGACTCCCAATCTCTCTCCAGCCCAGGCCTCTCCAAGACTCCAGATTTACGTGTGCAAGTGCCCACTCAGACTCTCCAGCAGGGCGTTGGTGGACCCCACACAGACCACATTGACTCCTGCCTTCCACCACGTCTTCAGCTGCCCACAGCAGGTGAGGGTCGCTTCATTCTCCCAGGGGTTCTGGGGTGGAGACCGCTGGCTCTCCTTTCCTTCCCTTACTTCCATCTTAGCTGTCAGTAAATTCTGGGGCTTCTACTCTTAAAACCTGTGCAGGTTCCCTCCACTTACCCCCTCCTCCAGTGACTCTACCTGCTTCTCACACTGGCTGCTTCCTGACCCCTGCTTCCTCCCTCTGCTCTGTGTTCCCACTCAGCACCCAAGGATACCTGTGACCCTGTGCATCCAGCTGCACCATCCTCTGCTCAGGGCCTCCTGTGGCTCCCAAAGTCTTCATCAGGGCCTACATCACCTGACTCCACTCTAGCCCACTGGATGCAGCACATACCAGATCTATCTGGCTTCAAGGCTTTCATTCTGGTCCCTCCATCTAGAGCGCTGTTGCCCAAAATCACCCACAAAGCTTTCCCTTCACCTCCTCAGAGAGACCTCCCCTGTCCCACTCCATTCTGTGTTTTTTCGTAACAATTTTCACAGCCTGACTTACGTTAAGGGCCTACTTACTTATTTGCACATTGCCTTTCTCTGCTCCTAAACATTACATGGAGGGTGTTTGTCTCTTTTGTTCCCTGCTGTGTAACCCCTTAAGCTAGCATGAACCTGAATGCGGCCAACAGCCAGTAAATGCTTTTTGGTAAAAAACAATAGATATACAACAGAAGTTTGCAATGGAAAAAAAAAAAAAAAACCTGCAAAGACTTTCAGAGACTAACCGCAGCCATGGCGGCAGTGCGCAAGTGCTTCCTGTGGATAGAGGGTCTGCATTTAGCCCAGGACCACATAGCCAAATGGCAGGGTGCACTCACCATCCCGGAAACTTGCTTGAGCCTGGCGCAGACTGTGAGGAACCAGGATTCCAAACCAGTTCAGGGGGTCCTGAGGGGCCTCAGAAGACTGTGGCTCTGGGGTCTTAGCAGGGCCCTTGCGCCTGCGCAGAGCTGAGGAAAGAAAGGCTGGAAAAGGCTGGGATCTTACTCCCTGCCTTTATCATCTTGGTGACAATGCTGAGCTTGATCTGAGCTCACGGTTCTAGATTCCGGGAATCAGCTTACCACAAAGCACAGCCCTTCCCTTTGTGATTCAGATGAGACTGTCCACTCTTTCCTGTGAGACTCCTGTGAGACACACGGGTGACCCTGTTTGCCCGTGACAAGGCCACACACTGACCTTACCCACTGTACCTGAACATGCTGATAGGCCAGTCACAGACCCTCCAACTCCCCTCTTCTTTGTCTCACGAATGATTAACTGGGATTAGAAGTTTGTCCCTCTGAAACTAGCTAGGCACACAGATGAATATTTTCTGTTCAGCTGAGATTTCCGTGATTGTAAAACTATACCCAGTGTAAAGCAACTCAACTTCTCTAATCCTCCCTATAAAAGTCTAACGCAAAACCACCCTACAGAAACATTCTGTTCTTCATCTCTGAGGCGCTCTCTTCTTCGCAAAAACCTAACTAAAATCATCACCTCAATTATTTGCATTTTGCCTTTGACACTGGGAAGGGGTGCTGCTGAAGGAGGTTGGGGCTCACCTGCTTCGCCAGGCCCCACCTCCTCTGGGGTGTGGATGCCAGCTCTCACCACCTCAAACTTCTGGAGTCCCTCCTGGGTCTCACTGAAGGACGAGAAGGGAGGATGGAACTCTGGCATCCCAGGCCTGGAGCGAGCCCGCCTACCCGCCCAGCGTGTAAACTTCCTCACCTGGTGTGGAGGCAGACCTGGGGTTCCATGTGGGAAGCATACTGTAGGGGCCCCACCGACTTGGCGCCCATCGCGTAGCGAGCCTTGGCCAGCGAGAGCCAGCCCTGCAGGGAGAGGAGAGCAGTGAGACTCAGTTTACGGCCGTGTGCCCTCCCGTCCGCCCCAGCCACCTACCTCCTCCACCCGGGCGTTCAACACCGCTCGCTTCCCCTCCAGCTCCTCGAGGTCCCGAAGAAGCTGCAGGAGCAGTGAGTCTAGCTCCACTCGCAGGTCAGGCGCCTCCATGGCGACACATCGGATCTGGAGCCACCTTCTTCCTAGTCGCCCAATCACCGCCCCCAGTTTGTCAGGACAGCCAATTGGCACACGAGATCTTCTCTCAAGGGGCGTTCCCAGCCGGGGACCCGGACGCCTGCCGCACCGAGGCGTCTGGGTCTGCTCGTTTAAGGGCAAGCGGCCTTAGAGAAGCATTACGGGAGCAACCGATCAACGGGTTTCTCCAAGTAGCCCCCAAGTGGATCAGCCAGCTGGACTGTCGCGTAGGGTGAGAGGTGGTTCTGAGTCGCTTCCGGAAGCTGCGGAATCGCAGAAGTCGGGCTACTGCTGTGGTGGTGGAAGATAGGCGAAGCTGTACAGCAACCATTTTGGTTAAGGGAAGAGTAGTTTTAAAGTTAACGTGGGAAGGAGCCGGCAAGCAACCTCCAGATCAGTCGGTGTGCCGTTTTTACAGTTAATGAACTGTTTCGAGCTGCTAATTATGATTGTTTTAGCAGTTCAGCATCTCAGAACTGCATTCTGCACAGGGGTGGTAGTGAAGCTGCAGGCGGACATCTTTATTAGCTGCAGTCGTAAGCCACGTGACAACATTCTGTAGCCAGTCTATTGGTTGTCAAGGAGCACGCGCTGCCGGAATGGCCAATCACCTTGCGACGCCTCCCCCCACCCCGCCCTGCGCTGTCGCCATCTTAACATAGGGCATTCGCGACGGCTGCAGGCCCCAGTGAAGTGTCTAAGGGACTTTCTTGGTTGAGGGCGGAAGTGAGGACTCTTCGCACAGGTGGAACCCACAGATTTTCCTGGACCCACGTGGAAGCGGCGCTCAAGATGGTAAGAGGATGCTTGAGCTCCTGTTTCGGAGGTCCAAGGCGCGCGAAGTGCTGGTGGTGTGGCCCTGGGGACGCGGGGCTCGGGGCTTCCAGGGGATCCGGGGCTCGGGAGCGAGTGGTGACCTGGCCCGCTGTTCTCACAGCTGCGCCGCGAGGCCCGCCTGCGCCGCGAGTACCTGTACCGCAAGGCCCGCGAGGAGGCGCAGCGCTCGGCCCAGGAGAGGAAGGAGCGGCTGCGGCGCGCACTCGAAGGTAGGGCGGTCGCCCCGCGGGCGTCTGCGCGGTAAGACGCCTGCAAGCATTTGTGTTCGGATAGCCGAGCGTCTTTCCAAATGCTTGCCGGCCATTTTCCTTGCCCGTTGGGTTCTCTTGTTGGTTTTGAGAGTGTTTCTTCCGTGTGATGGTGTTAATTACTTGTCATTGACGCTGCAGTACCCGGGTTCTGCAGCTTGCCCTCTGCGTACGGTGTGTCAAGTTTTTCCCAAGTTTTAAAGACTTTACCTTGTGTTATAGAAATTCTAGAGACTATCTGGATAGCGCTGGTGCTGCAGACTGTGCTGCCCATCCTCCCTGCAGGAGTTCGTTCAGGCGCCTTAGGCAACAGTGCTGGCCCAGAGTGCACGCCTGGAGCGCCGTCCTTTGCGGTGGGCAGCCTGCGGCTCAGGGCCGGCTGAAGCCGTGCCCTCGAAGCAGTATGGGCATCGTGACCATACGTTTTGCTGTCTGAGAGCTTAAAGGCCTCTGGTCCACCTTCATACATACAGAACAGTCTATTTCTTTTAAAAAGTAATTTTTAAGGCTGGGCGCGGTGGCTCACGCCTGTAATCCCAACACTTAGGATCACTTGAGTCGAGGAGTTCGAGACCAGCCTGGCCAACATGGCAAAACCCTGTCTCTACAAAAATACAAAAATTAGCCGGTATAGTGGCACATGCCTGTAATCCCATCTACTTGGGAGGCTGAGGCAGGGTAATCGCTTGAACCTGGCAGGCGGAGGTTGCAGTGAACTTAGATTACGCCACTGCACTCCAGCCTGGGCTCTTCCTCAAAAAAAAAAAAAAGAAAAGCAATTTTTAGATTTTAGTCTGGTAATTAAAACAATATAATATGTTAACAAAGTCATCAAGTCGTGAGACTCAAGAAGATGAAGTCCCAGTAACCACTGTTAATGGGTTGGCCAGTAGACAGAAAATTTTGTCACCTCTATCCCTGCTGTATCCGAGCCCAGAAAGGACTGAGGTATTTTTACTTGAAGTGTGTACAGGCTTGTAAGCCGCAGTGTATTGCATGAGCTGAGGGCTCCATGCTTATGACCCACTCAACCCTTCTGTCTTCCCCCTGCAGAAAACCGCCTGATTCCCACTGAGTTACGCCGGGAAGCTCTGGCCTTACAGGGGTCCCTGGAGTTTGATGATGCTGGCGGTGAAGGTAACTATACAGGGTAGCCCTCTCCAACACTGAGCAAGCTGGTCTCCACTCCTTCCTCAGACACTCTGGGCACTGTCCCATTGGAGGAAACTGCTCCTGGAACTGTCCCCCATGCCCTGTGACTGCACAGATGGCATCGCAGGGCTCTCCCTGAGTGTGCCCTGCCCCACTTACATGGCACACATGGGAGTGCCCCACTGACTCCCCGCCTTGTTTGTTAATTACCTCCCTCACTGGAATGTCTACAGGGCGAGACAGTGTCCCTCACACATCATTGGTGCCCATACGTTTAATTCACTGCATTATTCAGGAAATAAGAAAGGAGTCCCAAACATTATAGATACTTGTTATGAGGGAAAGGAGTTTGTCACCATTGGCCTTAGTGGTGTGTGAACTTCGATATCTCATACAGTAGCTGCTAGCCCCATGTGACTAACATAGCTTAAGTGAACTACAGTTAAACAAATGATTCCGTTCCTCAGCTGTACTTGTGCTTGGCAGCCAGAGTAGTTGGAGGCTGCCCTCTTGCCCATCGTGGGTGTGGAACATTCCTATTGTTGAAGGCTTCATCAGACAGCACCATCCAGGAGGTCTTGGCTGCCCCCAAGTTAGCATTTCACTCCCAAGCCTGTCATTCTTGCCCCTCCCCCGCGGTCCTGACAGGCGTGATCAGCCACATGGATGATGAATACCGATGGGCAGGAGTTGAGGATCCCAAGGTCATGATCACTACCTCCCGAGACCCCAGTTCCCGCCTCAAGATGTTTGCAAAGGTACTGTTGGGCAGGGAGTGAGGGGGACATGCCCAGGACACACAGTCCCAGTCCTGAGTGCCCACTGCCATCCACGTCCAGGAGCTGAAGTTGGTGTTCCCGGGAGCCCAGCGAATGAACCGAGGTCGACATGAAGTGGGGGCGCTGGTGCGAGCCTGCAAAGCCAATGGCGTGACCGACCTGCTGGTCGTCCATGAGCATCGAGGCACACCTGGTGAGGCCGGAGGGAAGGAGTGGGGATGGGAGAGGGAGTGGTCTGAGGGTAGATGGGGACTCTGACAGCCACCTTTCCCCGCCAGTGGGGCTCATTGTCAGCCACCTGCCCTTTGGCCCTACTGCCTACTTCACGCTGTGCAACGTGGTCATGCGGCATGACATCCCAGACCTGGGCACCATGTCGGAGGCCAAGCCCCACCTCATCACACACGGCTTCTCCTCCCGCCTGGGCAAGCGGGTAAGTCTGGGGGCCTTTGGGCCAGGGCTGCGGGCCAGGCCAGGCATTTGCCACTCCCTTTCTCTCTCTTTCCTTGTGGTCCAGGTCTCTGACATCCTCCGATACCTATTTCCTGTGCCCAAAGATGACAGCCACCGGGTCATCACCTTCGCAAACCAGGACGACTACATATCATTCCGGTGGGTCCATCGGCCATGCCCCAGGTGTTCCCACCCTGTGTACCCTGTGCTGCTTGCCATTGACCCACAGCTGTTCCCTCCCAGGCACCATGTGTACAAGAAGACAGACCACCGCAACGTGGAGCTCACTGAGGTCGGACCCCGCTTTGAGCTGAAGTGTGAGTTTGAGGCTGAATCCCATGTTTGGGGCTGGGAGGCAAGGCTGGTTTTGCTGGGGCTGATGGCCATCCCTGCCTGCAGTGTACATGATCCGCCTGGGCACACTGGAGCAGGAGGCCACCGCAGACGTGGAGTGGCGCTGGCACCCTTACACCAATACCGCACACAAGAGGGTCTTCCTGAGCACCGACTGAGCCCATTCACCACTTAGTCAGGACATGGACTTGGAACTCAGGACGGGGACTCTCGTAGACAGACCCGCCAGGAGGGTCTCACTGACAGGCCCACTGAGCTGGGATGTGGAACTGTGGCGGATGAGGAGGTGTGAATAAACCGTCTGTGTCATGTGGCCCCGCCTCCCTCTGAGTGGTTGTGCCAAGTCTGCAGGGTAAAGCCCATGGGGTCCCTTTGAGTGGGGACCTGATGGCTGTGGGACGTTCTCCGGCCTGGAGTCGATGTTGGGGTTAACCTAGTCAGAGATTTGATGCTAATGTCCCCTCAAAAGTCAGGGTCATATGAGCGCCTCAGCAGGCAGGTGCAGGTAGCAGGGCCAGCCTGCGTCACCAGCAGCACACCAAGTTAACTCACTGAGCGGGAGCCACCAGTTTGCCAGCACGGGGGGACAGGCCACACACGGTACTCAGCAGGATGGCTCCCCTGCCCCTGAAGGGGACATGGTGATGCTAAGGGACTGACTGCCCACTGCACCTCCAGCAACCCTGCGAGGGATGGATATTCAAAGTCACACAGGAGGGCTAGCACAACCCAGAGTCTCCCGCTGGCCTCACCACACTCACTCTTCCGTGGCCCCCGTTCCCTGCATGTACTTATGGGCCCTGGTCTTCTACAGAGTGGGTGTTGAGGCCCTGCAGGATTCACTGGGGTTTCCAGGGAGGGAGTGATGACAACCAGAAAGGGATCCGCCGCACCAAGCAGGGAGAGGCCTGTGAAGAAGAAAGGTGGTGCAGGGACAGGGCGGTGGCCTCTGCACACATGTCCTGGGCTGAGCGGAAGTGTGTGGCAGCAGAGGCCACCTGCATGACCCATGCAGAGGGCTCTAAGGTGGTCAGTGTTCATTAGGTCCATAACAGGAGCAGCCCAGTGGGAGAAGCAGGCAGGGAACCTCTAGGGCACAGTGTTCCATGAGGGCTGCAATTGGGACTTCAAAGAGCCTTCGTGTGACTTCTGTCCCCACTCCCATGAATCCACTTCCTTCTGCAGGGTCTCCCACCTTGTCATCTCACTCCACCTGTAACAAATGTGTCATTAGGTTTTCTGTGAATTTTGAACATTTCAAGATACATACGAAAGTAGAATCATATGCCGTGTGTGTGTTTCTTGTGGCTGCAGTCAGTTACCCCGGACTGTGTGGCTTAAACAACAGAAAATGATTCTCACAGTTCCAGAGGCCAAAGTCCGTGATCTAGTTGTGGGTTCGATCCCACATCTTGGACTTTTGCCTTCCTGTGCTGCCTCTTCTTTCATCCGCCAGATCACCTGTGTGTCTCCTAACAGACTTCTCACTGGATGTAGGGCCGTGGGATAATCCAGGATGAACTCTATTTCAAGATTCTGAACTTGGTTACCTCTGCAAAGACCCTTTTTTCAAATGTCACCTTCACAGGCTCCAAGAGTTAGTGTGGATGACATATCTCTTGAGCGGGCCATTTGCCTCACCACCTATCCGCATAACCACCTTCAGTGGCCATATGTGCTGTATACCTGTAAGTGACTCAGCCGCCAACTCAGTCATCACGTCGATAGATCACAAAAAGAGAAAGGGTGAGTACCATCATACAACAGGATACTTGGAGAAAGAGACCCTATTTACATTACTTATTACAGCATATTGTTAGAGTCGTTCTACTCCATTACTGTTAATCTCTTCCTGTGCCTCATTTATAATCCACAGTGTCAGGCATCCACAGAGGGTCTTGGAACTTATCCCCCATGAATGAGTAGGGACTATAAAAGATGTGAGGAAGGACTGTGAATATTGTTGTGTGGTATTATGGCTTTACTGTGGTTTACTTTAGAAAATCTTACTTTTTAGAGACATATGCTGAAGTATTTGGGTGTGAAATATCAGCTGGGTACTTGCTTGAAAATGCTTCAGCAGATGGGGGGAAAGTAGCCAAAGCAAAATACTGTCAGACTCAGGTAACTCATATAGGGAGTTTGTTCCTATCCCTATGTGTATTTTAGAGTTTTCATAATAGGGAATTAAAAGGAGATAATTAAATAATTTTTAATTTGATATTTAATATTTTTGTTTCAAACTATTTAAAATACTCAAGAAGTTCCCAGTGGAGCCCTGCCAACCATAATGGTGGTTGGAAGCCACCAAGTGGTGAGCCAAGGGAGGATGGAGTGTGTTCCACCTCTGAGTATTTCAGAGTTTTGGGAGTGAGAATATATTGTTACTTAAACCCGAAAAAAGTAAAAATGAAAGCACAGCATGAAGTGCGTTTTAGACATATCCGTGGACCACTGAATTGGCTCCAGTCAGCTGTCCAGTGTTCTTCCCTAGGGTACACTCCTAGAAGCAGAATTTCTGACCCAAAGAGATGCATACATCTAAGCCTTTTGAACTACCAGAGTTTTTAGCATGAGATTGTTCCCTCTCTCTAATTGGCAGGCATGAAAAAGTCTGAATAAGGTTGGTAAAGGTACGGAGATGGCCAGGCACGGTGGCTCACGCCTATAATCCCAGCACTTTGGGAGGCTGAGACGGGTGGATCACAAGGTCAAGAGATCGAGACCATCCTGGTCAACATGGTGAAACCCCGTCTCTACTAAAAATACAAAAATTAGCTGGGCATGGTGGCACGTGCCTGTAGTCCCAGCTACTTGGGAGGCTGAGGCAGGAGAATTGCTTGAACCCAGGAGACGGAGGTTGCGGTGAGCCGAGATCGTGCCACTGCACTCCAGCAACGGGTAAAAAGAGCAAAACTCCGTCTCAAAAAAAAAAAAAAAAAACGGAGATGAGGTTGTAATAGGTCCAGAACTCCAGAGGGAATTTTCAAGTAGCCCTAAAAGTAATCCCGTACACTAGTCTTTGATTCAGGAGACAGACTTCTAGGAATGCCCAATGGGCACACTCTCTCAGGGGTACAGGGGTGACCTTTGTTTGTAGCAGCAAAAAAGAAACATCCTGTCGACAGGGCTGCAGCTGCAAAAATTTGGGTGCACCACAGAGCCAGGCACTGCAGCTGCTGACATAGCCTTTTCTGAAACATGGAAAAAGCTGTTCATATTGTACGCCACTTGACAAGTTTGGAATATAATACACTCCTGAAACTACCACAATCTGCCATAAACATCCATCACCTCCACAGTTTCCTCCCACCTATTACGATGATGAGGACGATCATTCTGTGTTATTTTGTGATAAGAACACCGCACATAAAATCTATCCTCAGCAAAGCTTAAGTACAGCTAACAATATTAGTTACTATAGTAGGCACTGTGTCGTACAGCAGGACGGACTTACTTCATATGACAAACTATGTGCCCTTTCACCAGTATCTCCCCATTTTCCTCTCCCTAGCCTCTGGCAACCACCATTCTCCTCAGCTTCTAGGAGTTTGACTATTTTCGATTCCTCATGTAAGTGGCATCATGTGGTATTTGTCCTGCATCTGGCTTATTTCTGCTAACATGATGTCTTCAGGTTCCTCCACGATATTACAAATTACAGGATTTCTTTCTTTGTGAAAAATGTATATACCACATTTTCTTACCTATCCATCCATCAACAGACACTGAGATCGTTTTCATAGTTTGGCCGTTGTGGAAAATGCTGTGACAAACATGGGAGTATAGCTATCTCTTCAGGATAATGAGTTCATCATTTTTTTTTTTTGAGACAGAGTCTCTATTGCCAGGTGCCAGGCTGCAGTGCAGTGGCACAGTCTCTGCTCACTGCCACCTCCCCCTCCTGGGTTCAAGCAATTCTTCTGCCTCAGCCTCCCACATAGCTGGGACTACAGGCACATACCACCATTCCCAGCTAATATTTTTTTGTATTTTTAGTAGAGATGGGGTTTCACCATGTTGGCCAGGATGGTCTCAATCTCTTGACCTCGTGATCCGCCCGCCTCGGCCTCCCAAAGTGCTGGGATTACAGGCTTGAGCCACCGCGCCCAGCCTCATCTCCTTTTTTTGTGTATTCCCAGAGTGGGATTGCTGCATCAAATGGTAGTTCTATTGTTAGTTTTCTGAGGAACCTCCATACTGTTTTCCATGAAGGCTGTACTAATTTCCATTCCCACCAACAGTTCGCTGGGCTTCCCTTTTCTCCATAGCCTTGCCAACATTTGTTACCTTTTGTTTTTTAGTAATAGCCTTCCTGCCAGGTAGGAGGTGATCTCTCAGTGCGGTTTTGATTTGCATTTCCCTAACAGCGATATTGAGCATGTTTGCATACAACCGGGTCATTTGTTCTTTGTTGTTGACTTGAGTCCCTTATATATTTTGGTTACTGCTGTGGCCTGAATGTTTGTGTTCCCCGAAAATTCATGTATTGAAATCTCATTCCTAAGGTCGACAGTTGAGGGAGATGATTGTCATGAGAACTCTGCCCTTGTGCATAGAATTAGTGCCCTTATAAAAGAGGCCCGGGGGAGCTCCTTTGCCCCTCCTGCCATGTGAGGATACAGCCAGAGGCTGCCATCTGTGAACCAGGAAGCCCCCCTCACCAGACACGGAATCTGCTGGGGCCGCCATTTTGGTCTTCCCAGCCTCCACAGCTGTGAGAAATAAATGGCTGTTGTTTAAGCTACCCAGTCTGGTATTTTGTTACAGCAGCCCAAACTGAGACAGATAGTAACCCTTTATCAGATATACGGTTTGCGAAGTTTTTCCCATTCTGTAGATGCAGCCATTGAGAAGCTCCTTAAGATAGACGTTAAATAAAAAGTAGCAGGCCGAGGCAGGCGGATCACGAGGTCAAGAGGTTGAGACTATCCTGGCCAACATGGTGAAACCCCATCTATACTAAAAATACAAAAAAAAAATAGCTGGGTGCGGTGGTGCGTGCCTGTAGTCCCAGCTACTCAGGAGGCTGAGGTTGAACCCAGGAGGGGGAGGTTGCAGTGAGCCGAGATTGCGCCACTGCACTCCAGCCTGGTGACAGAGCAAGACTCCATCTCAAAAAAAAAAAAAAAAGAAAAAAGTAGCGTGGTGTGAAACGCCATGTGTAATGCGCTGCCAGTGTGCAGAAGAGGCAGGGAGGGCCCTGCACTTGTGTGTATGTGCCTCATCGTTTCCGGAAGACTGGATACCTTGCTGGTGCACTGGGTATCCAGGGAGGAGGGAGGTGCTTTATCATAATATTAGTGGGTGACCATGACATTCTCGACCATGGAGAGCGGCCCTCTGAGATCTATGCCCATTTTTCTTTGGGGTGCAGGTGGACACTTGCAAGGCATTCTCATGTTTAAAAAGCATACAGAAGGCCTGGTGCAGTGGCTCACACCTGTAATAATCCCAGCACTTTGGGAGGTCAAGGCAGGAAGATCACTTGAGGCCAGGAATTTGAGACCAGCCTGGGCAATATAGGGAGATCTCATCTCTACAAAAAATAAAACACATGCATAAGTGCACGTGGTGAAAAGTAAACCGTCATCCTCCTTCCCAAACAATGCATCCCTGCTCTTACTCTACAGAGGTCATTAGCACTGACTTTATAAAGAAGCTGGCCTGATATGTTTTATTCGTGGTATCCATAAATTTGTTGACCGTTAGTTATATTTTAACCTGAAAGAGATCATGTCGTGTACACCACTCTGAACCTTGCATCTTACCTTTTTTTTTTTTTTTTGAGACAAAGTCTTGCTTTGTCACCAGGCACCAGGCTGGATTGCAGTGGCATGATCTCGGCTCACCGGGTTCAAGCAATTCTCCTGTCTCAGCCTCCCAAGTAGCTGGGACTACAGGCGCCTGCCACCACACCGAGCTAATTTTTGTATTTTTTTAGTAGAGACGGGGTTTCACCATGTTGGCCAAGATGGTCTCTGTCTCTTGACCTCGTGATCCGCCCGCCTCAGCCTACCAAACTGCTGGGATTACAGGCGTGAGCCACCACGCCCGGCTGCATCTTACCTTTTAATGACAACTGGATACCACAGGTCACCAAGGCTATATAGTACACATGGATATGCTTCCTTCCTTGTGGCTGCATTGTTGGGTGGCTTCCTGTTTTTACTCCCACAAATACTGCTTCGAGGGCATCATTGAACATACTTCGGTGCATATTGATGCAAGTGTATCTAATGGATAGATTCCTGCAAGTGGCATTCTGCCTTTAAAATGATCGTAGAGGCTGAGCACAGCAGCTCACGCCTGTAATCCCAGCATTTTGGGAGGCTGAGGCAGGCAGATCACCTGAGGCCAGGAGTTCAAGACCAGCCTGGCCAACATGGTGAAACCCCGTCTCTACTAAAAGTACAAACAAATTGGCTGGGCATGTTGGTAGGTGCCTTTAATCCCAGCTACTCCGGAGGCTGAGGCAGGAGAATCGCTTGAACCCCGGGAGGTGGTGGTTGCAGTGAGCTGCGATTGCACTACTGCACTCCAGCATGGGCAATAAGAGCAAGACTCCGTCTCAAAAAAAAAAAGAAAATGATAGTAGAGGTTGTATCTCTCCATAGGCACCATCACAAGATGTGAGCACCTGCCCCCAGGTCAGCCCTGGGCATCATCAGAGGTTTTAACCTCTGCCAAACGCTAGGTGCAAAATGTTTCCCCAGTTGCATTTGCATTTCTTTAGTTACTGTAGAGTTTGTGCCTCCTTTCAAATACTTACGGGCCATGTGTGTATGTATTTTCTATGACTGGTCTACTCTCTTTACAGATGCAATAGTTCACCTCTAGATTGATTGTTTTAAATCTTGTTAGTTGTGGAAAATTTGAAACACAAGAGCAGAGAAGATGGTATAGTGAGTCCCTGAGCTGGTTTTGATGTGGGCCAGTCTTCATAGCCCATCCACTCCCTGTGTCCACTCCACCAGTTTATTTTGAAGTAGACCTCAGATATCACAGCATTTCATCCATAAGTAATTCCATGTACATCTGTAAAAGATAAGGACTCAACAAAGAAATACCATTATTGCACTTAAAATTGTCAATCTTCAGATATCCAATTAATGTTCAGCTTGCCTTGATTAGAGTGTGTGTTTCAACTAAGATTGACATTAGGTCCATTCACTGCAAATGATTGACAGGTCTCTTAAGTCTTTTCTAAACAGCTTTATGAGATAGTCCCATATCACAAAATTCACCAACTTAAAAAGTATAGGTTTCAATCATTTTTTTTCATTTGTTTTCTTTCCTGGCAACTTTCATTTAAGATTCAATGATTTTTAAAAAATCATAGTCACAGTGCTATGTAACCATCACCACAATCTAATTTTAGAACTTTTTTTGTCCCCCCCGGAAAGAAACCCCGTACCCATTAGCTGTCACTCCAGTCCCCTTCCTCCTCCCAGGCCCCCAGCCCCTGTCAACCACTAACCTACTTTAGTATTTTAGGTCTGATTCTGCTGAGACATTAAAACAGAATTAAAAAGAAAAAAGTTAATACTTTTGGTTTCTATAGATTTACTGTGTCTGAACATTTTGTGTAAGTGGAATAATATGTCTTTTCTAACTGGCTTCTTCCACTCAGCGTAATGTTTTCTAAGCTTATTCATGGTGTCGCTTATGTCAGTACTTCATTTATTTTTATTGCCAAATATTTCGTGTATGTCCCTATACATGTTCCTATACATGGGATATTATTATATACCACATTATATCCATTGGTTGATGAAATTTAGGTTGTTTGCCACATTCGGGCCTTTGGAAACAATGCTGCTATGTGCATTTGTGTATTAAGTCTTGAGTCTCTTTATAAGATTGCCTGTTTCTTTGCAGTTTACTCAGTTAGGAAACTGGTGTGTCTTAATAGACCTTTCACAGTCTGGATGTTGCTGAGAGCTGTAAGGCCTCTAGGACACCTTTGTT